AGCGGACAAGGGGAATCCGGACTGTTTTATTTAAAACAAAGCATTGTGATGGCCCGAAGACGGTGTTGACACAATGTGATTTCTGCCCAGTGCTCTGAATGTCATAGTGAAGAGATTCAACCAAGCGCGGGTAAACGGCGGGAGTAACTATGACTCTCTTAAGGTAGCCAAATGCCTCGTCATCTAACTAGTGACGCGCATGAATGGATTAATGAGATTCCCACTGTCCCTATCTACTGTCTAGCGAACCCACAGCCAAGGGAACGGGCTTGGAATAATCAGCGGGGAAAGAAGACCCTGTTGAGCTTGACTCTAGTCTGACGTTGTGAAATGACTTGGGAGGTGTAGAATAAGTGGGAGGCTCTGCCGTCTGTGAAATACCACTACTCTCAATGTTGTTTTACTTATACCATGATGTAGCATCTGTGTGGCCTCGCGGTCGCTCAGTTCTAGTTGTAAACTTGGGCTTTTGCCTGGGTGAGCTACGTGGAAGACATCGTCAGGTGGGGAGTTTGGCTGGGGCGGCACATCTGTTAAATGATAACACAGGTGTCCTAAGGTGAGCTCAATGAGAACAGAAATCTCATGTAGAACAAAAGGGTAAAAGCTCACTTGATTTTGATTTTCAGTATGAATACAAACCGTGAAAGCGTGGCCTATCGATCCTTTAGTTCTTTTGAATTTTAAGCTAGAGGTGTCAGAAAAGTTACCACAGGGATAACTGGCTTGTGGCAGCCAAGCGTCCATAGCGACGTTGCTTTTTGATTCTTCGATGTCGGCTCTTCCTATCATTGCGAAGTAGAACTCGCCAATTGTTGGATTGTTCACCCACTAATAGGGAACGTGAGCTGGGTTTAGACCGTCGTGAGACAGGTTAGTTTTACCCTACTGATGAGTTCGTTGTCTAAACAGTAATCCAACCCAGTACGAGAGGAACCGTTGGTTCAGATAATTGGTAACTGCGGTTAGCTGAAAAGCTAGTGCCGCCAAGCTACCATCTGTAGGATTATGGCTGAACGCCTCTAAGTCAGAATCCATGCTGGAATAGACGATAATCACCTTTCCCGATGTGCCGCGAATAGCGATAGGTGTCTTCTGGACACCCAACATCATACAATTGCAACGCACTCCGCTGCCTGTCAAGTACTGGCGGTGGAGAGTAGGCTGATTTGTAATTTCAAATATTGGGAAAGATAAATCCTTTGTAGACGACTTAACTACAGAACGGGGTGTTGTAAGCATGAGAGTAGTCTTGTACTACGATCTGCTGAGATTTAGCCCTTGTTCTATTGATTTGTTCAGAAATGAACATTTCTCCCCCCAATTGCAAACGCGCAATGTTAAAACTATAAAGTTAAGCAGTCGAAATAAGGCTGCGTTAAAGTGATTTACTTTCGCTATGGGGCGGCGAAAGTAACCGGTCAAAGTGCTGGTAGAGAGTTAATACTGTTAAGCTTAAGATCGTCAAAGTCTTTGTTTTGGCTTAGTGAGGTTTGTTCGCAAAAATCGCTAAGTGCCGCTGCTATTGTTTTCCGAGCCAAATTCGGCGACCTTAGTATCGGGTTTATAACAGGCAGAAAGCGAGAAACACTTTGCGTGAAAATCGCTAAGTGCCAGCGCTAATGATTTCTGAGCCAAAATCGGAGATTTTAGTATGGGGGTTTAACAGGGCAAGCTAGACGGCAGGGCGTAAAATTAGACTTGGTTTAAGTATGTTAAAAGAGAGCGAATAGCGTGAATTAGACTTGGTTTAGCTATGTTAAAGAGAGCGGAATAGCATGAATTAGACTTGGTTTAACTATGTTAAAGAGAGCGGAATAGCATAAAATAGACTTGGTTTAAGTATGTTAAAAGAGAGCGAAATAGCGTAAATTAGACTTGGTTTAACTATGTTAAAGAGAGCGGAAATAGCATGAAATAGACTTGGTTTAACTATGTTAAAGAGAGCGGAATAGCATGAAATAGACTTGGTTTAAGTATGTTAAAAGAGAGCGAAATAGCGTGAATTAGACTTGGTTTAAGTATGTTAAAGAGAGCGGAATAGCATGAAATAGACTTGGTTTAACTTTGGTTAAAAGATAGCCGAAATAGCGTGATTTAGACTTGGTTTAAGTATGTTAAAGAGGAGCGGAATAGCATGAAATAGACTTGGTTTACTATGTTAAAAGATAGCGAAATAGCGTGAATTTAGACTTGGTTTAAGTATGTTAAAGAGAGCGGAATAGCATGAAATAGACTTGGTTTAAGTATGTTAAAAGAGAGCGAAATAGCGTGAATTAGACTTGGTTTAAGTATGTTAAAGAGAGCGGAAAAGCATGAAATAGACTTGGTTTAAGTATGTTAAAAGAGAGCGAAATAGCGTGAATTAGACTTGGTTTAAGTATGTTAAAGAGAGCAGAATAGCGCGAATTAGACTTGGTTTAAGTATGTTAGAGAGAGCAGAGTAGCGTGAATTAGACTTGGTTTAAGTATGTTAAAGAGAGCGGAATAGCGTGAATTAGACTAGGATAAAGTATGCAAAATGAAGCTGAGGACTTTGTGAAAAAATGCGAAGTTGTTTGCTGTTCTAATTGTATGGGTTTGGAGATGTTTTTGGCTTGGATTAATAACAGGCAGGAAGCGCGAGGAAACGCAGCGAATATGGACGCGTACGCGGAAGGTGACGGCGGAGGAAGCGCGGATATGGAGGTGAAAATGGTGAAGGTGATGGCGCGAGGAAGGTGACGGCGCATGGGTGTGAATATGGAGGTGATGAAAGGTGACGGGAGGAAACGCATGATGTATATGACAAGTTGGTGTCGTACTTAAGCGGAGCGCGCGCTGTGCATGTATGAAGGTGTCGAAGGTGTTCATATTGCCTAAGACGAGTACGTGCACATGTCATGTCGCATAGGAAGCGTAGGTATGGTTGTGCAAGTCGTAAATGGCCACTTTGGTGGTTTAACATTGTTTCCAGGCCGCGTATGCGCAAATATGGGGTGCGTCGTCATTGACTTAGGCAGGTCGATGGTGTACGACGCACCATGTCTGGCCAGGACTGCAAATGGTCCGTTGAATTAGTGCTGTGG